CGCCGTCCACTACCATCTCGAGACGGCGAGGCCGGCTCTGCTCTTTCTGACCGAGACGCAGGTGTCCTCTCCGGCTGATGTCTCGTATCTCTCCTGCCCGGGGTACAAACTGGAACACTCCTTTGTGCCTCGGGCTGGAGTTTGCGTTTACGTCAGAGAGGACATCTGTTCTCGACGCCTCGGCAGACTTGAAGGTTCGGACCTGTCCATCCTTTGGCTACGCGTAGACAGCGACGACCATCCGCGCGTCTACGGGTGCCTCTATAGGTCCCATAGCGGTAATGCCAAAACAGACCGACTCTTCGACCACGTCCAAATGGCTGCAGATTCGTTGCTACAGCAGATCCCCTCCGCAGAGATCGTGATCCTCGGCGACTTTAACGCCCATCACGCCGAATGGCTCGGTTCACGTTTAACCGATCATGCGGGGAGATCTGTTCATGATTTTGCCTTGGCATATGGTCTGACACAACTGGTTACTTCGCCTACGCGGATTCCAGATGTGGAGGATCATGCACCTTCCCTGTTGGACCTTCTGCTGACCTCTCACCCGGACGGATATCAGATTTCCGTCGACGCCCCTTTAGGCTCCTCGGACCATTGTCTTGTCCGGAGTGTGGTGCCACTCACGCTGAAATCGCGGTTGCATTCTGCAGGCTGCCGCCGTGTTTGGCACTATAGGTCAGCCGATTGGGATGGGATGCGGTCTTTCTTTGCATCCTACCCTTGGGGGGCGGGTTTGCTTCTCGCCGGACGATCCCAACGTTGTTGCGGATTCTGTCGCTGATGTGGTACTTCAGGGTATGGAACTTTTTATTCCTGTCATGTGTGACGTGCGTCAATCAAACACGGTGTTCTGGCCAGTACTGAATTTATTTTAATTTTACAATTATCATTACATCCTTCTCCCTCAAATTTACAAATAGTTTCCTTCGCAAAGAATTTACTTATCAGACATAAGTACACAGTAATTATACTTAAGTAATAAAATCATTAAACACCAAAATTAGCAATGTAAAAATTAAATACTGAAATAATCCTACATCTTCTTTCTTTTTTTTTTTACACACACCCAGTTGTTTCCATACCTTTATAAGATGAACCATGATGCACCAGTTTATGTTGTTTGTCCATATCTATTCGGTGGTTTCACTGACCTCCCGGATCGTGTAACATAATTATTATTAATAGTATTTTCTCTATATGTTGAGTACATATTTTGGTTGTTATAAGATACACTGGCATTAACGTCATCATATTCGAAGTTATAGTTAGGAGTGTCGTGTCTGTTTGGCTAATCTTTTATTATATGTTTCCTAAATCTAACTATTTTACTACCAGTAACTAATTCAATTTCATATGAGCGGTCTCTTATTTTTCTTGTAATAATCCCGGATATCCACTTTCGTTTATTTACGTCTAGTAACACTTTTACATTCTGCCCGACATTTAATTTTTGCAAATTTTTTGCATTGCGATCATAATACATCTTCTGTTTTAGTTGTTTTTCTTTTAATTTACTTAAAATATTTTTTTGTGTTTTAGGTTTTAAAAATTTTGTAGACATAGGTAATATACTTCTCAATTTTCTACTCTGTAATAATTCCGCCGGAGAAGGCAAGTTTTCATCTAAAGGAGTGTTTAAATATTCTAATAAAGCCAACCTATAATCCTGCCTTTCCGCGGTAGACTTCAGAATTATATTCTTTATTGTTTGAACGGTCCGTTCAACTTGTCCGTTTGATTGGCCGTAACGCGGCGATGAAGTTATGTGTGTGAAATACCATTCTGATGTAAACTGTTTAAAATCATTCGATGTAAATTGTGGACCACAGTCAGTCATGAATATATAGGGTATACCCTGTCTACAAAATATATTTTTTAAAGATGTAATAACAGAAAATGAATGAGTTGACTGCAATTCGACCAATTAAAAAATTTGCTATAATAATCAATTAATAACAAATAATTTTGGTCTTTAACTTGAAATAAATCTACACCTATTTTGGCCCACGGTCTATTTTAAAATTTAAATTACCGACTGCGCCATGTCATGTGTGACGTGCGTCAATCAAACACGGTGTTCTGGCCAGTACTGAATTTATTTTAATTTTACAATTATCATTACAATTCCTTCCTCTGTGGAGGCAAATCTCAGCCATGGTTTGGTCGCTCCTGTAAAATAGCATCATGCTATAAGCAGGAGTGCTACCGAGCCTGGGCTGACGCATCAGCGTCCAGGGATGTAAACACCAGCGCTCTAAAAAAGAAGTATAATTCCGCCTCTAGGTCCTTCAAAAGAGTCATTGCCAAGGCAAAGTCAGAGCACATAGGCAGAATTGGCGAGAGACTAGTTCGTCTCCCTTCTGGAACCCGTGCATTCTGGTCTCTCGCCAAGGCTGTCCAGGGGAATTTCTGTCAGCCATTACTTCCATCTCTGCACAGGGAGGACGACTCACTGGCCCACACCGCAAAGGAGAAAGCCGATCTTCTAGGCTCTTTCTTTGCGTCTAACTCGACTCTCGATGACGGGGGGAGTACGCCGCCGACCATCCCGCGGTGTGAGTGCTCCATGCCGGAAGTGCAGTTCACTCAGCGCTCGGTTCGCAAAGCACTCCTCTCCCTGGACATCCACAAGTCGAGTGGGCTTGACGGAATCCCCCCAATTGTGCTGAGGACGTGTGCTCCAGAGTTGGCACCGGTTTTAACGCGTCTTTTCCGGTACTCCTACTCCCTAGGCGTAGTCTCAAAATCATGGAAGACGGCTTTCGTCCACCCGATCCCTAAAAAAGGCGACCGCTCAGACCCGTCCAACTACCGGCCTATCGCCATCACCTCCTTGTTCTCCAAAACAATGGAGTCCATTGTAAACTGCCAGCTCATGAGGTACCTTGAGGATCACCAGCTGATTAGTGACCGCCAATACGGTTTTCGCCGTGGTAGGTCAGCTGGTGATCTTCTGGTCTACCTAACTCACAGATGGGCGGAGGCAGTAGAGTCCAAGGGGGAGGCACTGGCCATTAGTTTGGACATTGCGAAGGCCTTCGATCGGGTTTGGCACAAAGCACTTCTTTCGAAGCTCCCTTACTATGGGCTTCCCGAGAAATTGTGCGATTGGATCACCAGTTTTCTTGCAGATCGGAGCATCAAGGTCGTTGTAGACGGTGCAAGCTCCGATTGCAAGCCTATTAATGCTGGTGTTCCACAGGGCTGCGTGCTATCGTCAACGCTGTTTCTTCTGCATATCAATGATATATTGCAAACCCGTAGCATTCATTGCTATGCAGATGACAGCACTGGTGATGCTCTTTACACCGGCCGAGCCAATATTTCTCGGGAAAACGTCTCTGAGTGCCGGGACAAACTTGTGTCTGAAGTCGAGTCTCTGCTGGACAGAGTCTCGGATTGGGGGCGACTAAATCTAGTCCAGTTTAACCCCCAGAAGACACAAGTTTGCGCGTTAACCGCTAAAAAGAACCACTTTGTCGTATCTCCTCAGTTTCAAGGCACTCCCCTTGTTGCCTCAGCCAGTATCGGAATCCTCGGCGTCGACATATCGAGTGACGTGCAGTTTCGTGGTCACTTGGAAGGGAAGGCCAAATTGGCCTCTAAAAAGCTTGGCGTGCTCAGCAGAGCGGGACAGTATTTCATGCCGGCACACCGCCTGCAACTTTACAAGGCGCAGGTTCGGCCGCTCATGGAATACTGTTCCTATCTCTGGGCTGGGGCTCCCCAGTACCAGCTCTTTCCACTTGACCGCATCCAGCGCTGAGCGGCTCGAATCGTCGACGACCGAGTGCTTTCCGATCGGCTCGATTCACTTGCGCTGCGAAGAGATGTTGCATCTCTTTGCGTATTTTATCGCATCTATCACGGGGAGTGCTCTGAGGAATTGTTCGGATTAATCCCAGCCGCCAAATTTCGTGAACGCACTACACGGCAAACGTCCCGATACCATCCACACCATCTGGATGCTTGGCGGTCCACCACTGTACGTTTCAAAAGGAGTTTTCTTCCGCGTACAACCTCTCTGTGGAATAATTTACCACCGGCTATTTTTCCGGACCGATACGACCTGGGGACCTTCAAGAAAAGTGCTTACTCCTTTCTGAAGGGCCGGCAACGCACCTGCAATTCCCCTGGTGTTGCGGTTGATCATGGGCGGCGGTAGTCACTTAACATCAGGTGAGCCACATGCTCGTTTGCCCCCTCTTCTATAAAAAAAATTCAAAACAATAATATAAGCGGTTTTTGTTAATTCTTAAACAGACATAACAAATAATGAATCCACTGATGTGATATGCTTAACTTGCAATTTTTTTGTTATTTTTAATTATATTTTCTCGCCCGTATATAATTCCATATTTGGGTTACTGCTTCCATTATTGTATGATGGATTTTTAATAATTGTTACGTTAATAGGGGAAAAGCAATTTCACTATCAGATGTGTCATACCTTTGATGATACGGGAAAAATACGATCGCCTAAGATGATTTAAGACGACACTTACTTGACGAAATGAGATGTTAACACACTTAACTTTAACGTGGTAGAGCCACGTTATACTCTACTCTACACCTTTCCTGCCGAGGAGTAACGTCTGGGCAGGCACTGCCCTAGCCTTCTTACCTATTTCTTCTTTCAAGTGGCGGCCCCAGTCAGACGGTTATCGAGAACCAATATAATTACATTTCATCTTAGTCCTCAGAGCAGACAACACATCAGTAGCCTTCTTTTCTTCAATAGCCATAAGCTGCAGTAGCAAATTACCATCAGGTGTACTGTAAGCTTGTTTGCACTTTATTTTTTTATTTTTGACATATGAAAAGACCTTAGTCAAGCGAAAATACGTTCTTATGAACTAACATCCGTTGTTTACTCGTGAAAGAATAACAAGAAACGTTCCCCGAAACTGACAAACTTGTTCCTATCTCAGTCCCGGAGGAAATCTTTAGAAAGTAGAAAAATATGGAGACATGTTTACAGTTCCATGTTTGTGATGTGTCTAGTTAATAAAATCCTAGAACACAATGTTACCATGTTCATAACACAAACAGTAAACTCTCAGTTATTGAGTCTTGCTACAAAGACGTAAGTTTATGTTATAATAACTGTCAAGCAAAATGAAGAGACTTTGCTAACTACTTTGAAAATATTTAGGTTTGAAAAAACAATTTTGTTTTAGAAGTAAATTCTTTGACCGTCCAGCGTAAAATAGCAGTTCAATGCTGCTATGTTTCGTGTGGTTAGGGTATAGAACTAGACACTCATTTTACTAGAAACGAGGTATACGATCTTAGTCTTTAGGGGTGAAAATGCATCTGCATTTTGTGTCTTTGTCGATGATTGATGTAGGTTTCTATGGGCCAAAGCCAAGAGGTGGACTGTGGACTCGTTTGTCACCCTTAATCTATTTATAGATATATGCTTTTTAAAGCACATATTAAAGAGATTACATATTCAAGTGCGTTTTAAGCCTTTTTTAAAAGGATGAGGTGACAAACGACCACAAATTCGACCTGATGGTAAGCCTCGTTTCCAGTAAGTGGGGTCTCCGATTCTATACACTCACCATACGAAACACAGCAGCATTAAGCTGCTAATTTACGCTGGTATTCTGTGAGAGCGTGGTCCTCCCCGGTCGAGCCGACCCATTCGTGCTACATTTATACGACTTATATGAATGCAGAATTGCTCTATCACGTTAAAACCCTCATAATATGTTCAAAAATAGTGAATATAATAGAACAGAAAGATGCTATATATCTAATGTAATACACATTTATCGAACTACATAACAAGTTTTATACGTGGTAGAGCCATGCTGCAGTTATATTAGTAGTATAGTTGTAGCACGAATGGGTCGGCTCGACCGGGGAAGGACCACGCTCTCACAGAATACCAGCGTGAAATAGTAGCTTAATGCTGCTGTATTTCGTATGGTGAGTGTAGAGAACCGGAGACCCTTTTTACTGGAAACGAGGCATTCCATCTTAGTCCTCACGGGTGACAACGCATCTGCATTTTGATTCGTAATCGAGGATAGATGTAGATGTCTATGGGCCACAGCAACCACTTACCATCAGGTGGACTGTGTGCTCGTTTGTCACCCTATCCTATAAAAAAAAAAAAAAAAAAAAACAAGTTACACATAAAGCTAGCTTTTAGAACTTCCTCAAGGAACCAGGAGGTATGATCCTGTAGAAATGTTTAAACAATATACATCTTAATATATATAAATTACGTGTCACGTTGTTTGTCCGCGATGGACTCCTAAACTAGCTAACCGATTTTTAATTAAATTTGCACACCGTGTGCAGTTTGAGAGATAGGATAGTTTTTTTTTGCTCATGAGTGACCCCCATTTTTTTTTTGCAAATTTAAGGATTTTTTTATAGGACAGGACAAAGGGTCATCGAAAAGGGCAAAGCAACGTCTGCCTGGCAAACTATTAGAAAAAAAATATATATATATATGTATTTGTAATAATAATAATAATATTGAAACACACCATGAAACGGCACCGGGTCTGGGCGTCTCCCGCTAAGTGACGCCCACCACTATGGATGATGGAATACGGAGCCTCTGGGGTCGCCAGAGCGCGTCTGGAGCTGGCGCTGGACGCGACAGCACGCGAACCGCCAGCCGAGCGCGAGGTGCTGCACGACCACCCAGCAGCCCCTCGCATCCATCATCCCCACCAGCTGGTTTGGTTTCGGCAGGGTCTTTGCGGGCCCAGCAATCGGCACCCGCCACTGGTGGAGTACGCCGCATGCGTTGGACAACCCAGATGAACAGCAACGCATTGCGGGCGTATTTTAGGGCGAAAGGGGGAGAACCTGGAGGTTTTGCGTATCGGGCAAGGATGCATCGACTTTTTGCTGAGCTGGAGCCATCTGTAACCGTCACCGAGTGAAACCTGGCAGACCGAGTTCGGTATATCTTGCGCTCAAATACATTTGATGTCACCGAACTCGAACGGCTACGACGTGAAGCTGTTCCTTCATCGGGTGAAAATGCTGCGGCTGAGGATGCGGCGCCACAACTTGCTGAGCAAACGGCAAATGTGGATGCTGCCGTGAATACGCCAGTTGTGGTTGATTCAAACGATGATGGAACAGTCGCCCAGGAACTGGAACTAGAGCAAATGAGGAGTACATTGGAGGAGACGATTGTGGAAACGCGCAGTACGCCTCTCGAAAATCGACCGCGACTTCCCCGTTTAGCCCTAAGCAAGCAGAATCGGGCTGTCGTGAGGGCTCTGAACCCAATGCTGGTTACCTATTTGGAAGCCCCCGGGACCTTTGCGAGACGGACTCAATTCTTTTTGGCGCCGCACTGGCAGTCTGCCGTATTATAGGCGCCAAACTTTCCACGGCTGGACGCGCTACTGGACAAAGTAGTGCTATCCCAGCCTGGAGAATAAGAATTGAAGAACGTATCGCAAAGGCTAGGGCCCTCATCGGCAGACTGATATGCTTCAGGTTAGGCAATACCAGGCCAAGGATTGTGCGCACCGTCAGGATGGCGTTTGCTGGGACAAATGTTAGTTTGTCCAAGCCGTATATAATGCAAAAACTGACCGAGCGTATAGATGACCTGAAGCAAAGAATAGCTGCTTGGGGAAAGAGGATTCGGCGATATACCGAGAGGTCGACACGGTTCAACCAGAATCGTCTCTTCCAGAGTGATCAGAAGAGGCTCTATAAATCATTGGAGCGACCAATAGTAAGTGAAACGGGCCCTTGGACGGAAGTTGTGGCGAGTTAGTGTGCGGGTATTACGCCCATGGACCCCGTCATCATAACGCCGGATGACGTAGCTGAGGCGGTCCGTAGGGCCCCGAACTGGAAAAGTCCGGGGCTTGACGGGCTGCATCACTACTGGCTGAAAAGGTTCATGGTGTGTCACGCTGTGCTCGCTCGACAGTTTCAAGAGGCTCTCAACCAGAAGTCGCTCCCAAGCCTCTTCACTACTGGAATCACTCATTTGGTTCCTAAAGATCAGGGTGCCACAGACCTGAGCAAATACCGCCCCATCACGTGTCTACCGACTATATACAAGACACTAACATCATTTTGAGCGCGAGAATCGCTCGTCACCTGGACTCAAATCAGGTGATGTCGCGCGCTCAAAATGGATGTCGGGGCGGCGATCGTGGTACCAAGGAACCACTCCTCATTGACGTGGTCATTGGCAAAGTGGTGAAACGCAACCGTCGGAATTTCTCCGCCGCTTGGATAGATTACAGAAAGGAATTTGACTCGGTTCCCCATACATGGCTAAAGAGAGTCCTCGAGCTGTACAAGATTGACTGTACAGTTCGAGACTTCCTCGAGCAGTGTATGGGGCAGTGAAGTACGATCCTCTGTCATCTAGGCGAGCGGATGACGGCTGCGGAAAGCCGCATAAGGATAAGAAGGGGTATATTCCAGGGCGACTGTCTGAGTCCAATCTGGTTCTGCCTCTCTTTGAACCCTCTCAGTACTTTACTGGAGGGCTCCGGGGGAGGGGATTTCAGAGGTACAAAAGTGACCCACCTTTTCTATATGGATGATCTCAAATTATTCGCCTCCAGTCGCTCCCATCTTATGGAATTGCTAAACATCACTTGTGAATTTAGCAATTCTATTAGAATGGAGCTGGGGACGGATAAGTGTGCGGTCCTCCATGTTGAAAGGGGAAGGGTCGCTAACTCTGAGGGCATAGACTTATCTATGCCCGTCAACTTAAGGGCCCTTTCCGAGGCTGAAACATACCGATACCTGGGTATGTCACAGAACATCGGTATCGATGAGGCTGGTATGAAACAGTCAGTTTACGACGTGTTTTATGCACGCTTGACCAAAGTGCTTAACAGCCTTTTGTCCTGTGTGAATAAGACACATGCATATAACGGTTGGGTCATGCCTGTCCTCATGTATACCTTTGGCATACTCCGGTGGAGTCAGACTGAGCTTAACGCCCTGGATAGAAAAGTCCGCACTACAATGACGTCCCATAGGATGCATCATCCGAGATCGTCGGTAATGAGGCTGTACTTGCCGCGAAAGCATGGTGGGCGTGGCTTTCTGAGCACGCTCACCATGCATAATCTCGAAGTGTGCAGCCTCCGTCACTACTTCCTGGCGAGATCGGATGATCCATTCTATAATGACGTCATTTCTAGTGATAAAGGACTTACCCCTCTATCCTTAGCCAACGAGCAATGGCGAGACCCGGCAGTACAGAGCATTTCCGACCGGGAGACCGTATGGAAGGAGAAGGGGCTCCACGTGAGGTACCACAGGGCTCTACATGAGCCTCAGGTAGATACAGCCGCCTCCCTCAACTGGCTACGTTTCGGTGACCTCTCGGGGAAACCGAGGGTTTTGTCTGTGCAATACAGGATCAGGTTATTAAGACCAACAACTATCGGAGATACATCCTAAAGGATGGCACTGTCGACGTTTGCCGAGCTTGTCGCCGTCCCGGGGAGTCACTTAGGCATGTCATCTCCGGTTGTTCGGCGCTTTCCAACTCTGAGTACTTGCACAGGCACAACCTAGAAGCCAGAATTCTACACCAGGAGCTCGCTCTGAAATACGGTCTCGTGGACCGAAAATTGCCGTATTACAAGTACTTGCCGGAAGCCGTGCTCGAAAATGACCGCGCCAGGCTCTACTGGGACCGGGCCATCATCACAGACAGGACTATTCTTGCGAATAAGCCTGATATTGTGCTGATGGACCGGGCACAGTCAAAGATATTTTTGATCGATATTACCATTCCGTATGACGAGAACCTCGTGAAAGCCGAAACAGATAAACGAACAAAATATCTGGACCTGGCTCACGAGGTGACCGACATGTGGGGTGGTATGCCGACCGAAATTATTCCTGTAGTCGTCTCTGCGAATGGGCTAATCCCAGTCAGCCTCTCGGGACATCTGAGGCGACTGGGACTCCGTGACGGACCGCTCCGGGCTCAAATGCGGAAGGCGGTGCTCCTCGATACCGCCCGCATCGTCCGCCGGTTTCTTTCCCTTTCCCCCTAACCCTCGGCCGTTTGGTCTCCCCTGCCGAGGGCTCCCATCTGGTTGGATCTTATTTATTTATGTAGTTTTTGTATTTATTTTATTTTATTGACATTTATGTACATTTCTTTTCATTTTAATTTATAATTATATATTTATAGAACCCAACCAGGTGAGAAAATTATATAGATACCCCAAAATAATAATAATAATAATAATCTTTATTTGCAAGAATATGGTTGTACAATGGTGTTTGAGTATAATTCGTTCTATATATTATACTTTAGTGGTGTGCAAATATATTGTATATATATTTATATAAACTAGTCTATTTTTTGGCTATCAGGTTAGGAGTGCTGTGAGCATGAGTCGACGGTGCCTCATGCAAAATAAAACACATTCTTTTTGATTAGTATTAAATCCTATGTGGAATCGTGCTAAGGCGCGTATAATCATATAAAATGTACCGTTCTTTTTTGATTACCGTTCTAATAATATACTCTTCTAAACCAATCTCCTAGATTAGAATAATGTATACCGGACATTTAGCATTTTTGAGCGACAAACATACAAACATTCATATTTATGATCTTAATAAGACAATACCATTAAATGTATATGCACTGAAGTTGACTCGTAACGAAAATATTGCGTATCATCACGCTTGTCCTCCTGCAGTGATTCAGCAATTTTGGTCCCTCTCGTTTCATCTTATCTACGTAGTATCTGATTATTTTAATAGACGCTTACTAGCTTCATATATTTTCTTTCGATCTTCTCGATTTGTTTAAATAACAGTAGTAGTCTCTTTATAATTAATTATTCATTTCTAAGAACATTTGTTTAGTTTTAATGTCTTTAATCTTTAATGATACTAAAATGAATTAAAATAAATAAATTTTGGTAAAACTATTACTAATATTAACTAACGTAATAAGGACTATGGTCCGTAATAAATTACAATCAATGAAGAAAATTTTTGTGTTACACTTGTCTGGTTGGGACATCTTAAAATATACTCATGAACAAATTTAGAGGAACGAAAAATATGTGTGTATACAACCAAATGTGATGGATATTTATGACAAGCTTAATAATTTGAATTTTGCTTATTATTAGTTAATTTAAAATTGCTAACGCCGAAAAAACAAAGAAACGACAAACATGAAGCAAATTAAATATAAAAGAAACATATTTGTAATATTTATTTTCTTTTACCCCATAAAGTGGGCTATAATCAGTATTTTGTGTTAATCCTTAGGTATTTAAACTTCATTTAGTCACAAGGAAAAGAAGGAGAAAGAAGAAAAAGAGACAAAAATCTTGAGAGATTGGGTTCTATTCTTCCTATAATGCGTTTTTAAGATATTTCAAGTTAGCGGAACAGGAATTTGTCTTCCAGACTTATCCCATACATGTTTTATGGGATTTCGGTAGTCAGGCAAGCGCACTGGCTACCCCATAGCATTGATTTCAAATTCTCGTAGGTATTTACGGCCCCTATGCATAGAAACAAAGCTATCTGCAATAAAATGGGCAAATTTCGCTACAACTGCAATGATAATACAAACTACAATGTGGGAAGAATGAAGCCTCTGGTAAGCAGGTATAAATTTATTCAGGCTGATTCCAGTATTTTCTCACAGTTTTTGTGTTTACAGTAACCCCTTGAACTTCTTGGAGCGTCGTTCTTACGTGAGAAGAAGTTAAAGTCCGGTTTAAGCACACTGGTAACGATGAACCATCTCTGGCCACTAATTCCGTTAACTACCCGGTTTGTTAACTGTCTAGTCGCGTATACTGTTCGATCTGGCGCTACCTATTGAAAACTCGGTGCGCCACAGATTCTGATACTCGTAATGTTTGGGCCACATGTTTTTAGTAGTGCTCTGTTTCAATTAAATTAACAACCCTAGCATACGCTTAAGTGGCGTTTAGATCTGGCATTCTCAGCATTAATAGCAGCAGCAATCAGTAGTAACTGCAGATCTACAGTATCAATTGTATCAATTAACACTTAACACGTTATACAAGGCAGTCAATGCAAACATTTGAATTTTTGCAATAATTACATAAAACTAGATGACATTTGAAAAACAACACACCAAAACCTTTTTTTTAATTGCTTTTACTAGTTAGTGGCCAGTAATTACATCAGAACAAATTAAACCTTTTTTGGATATTGGTCCATGAGTGTATATAAAATGATATAGAATATATAATAAAATTAATTTCGTATATATTACTATAATATAAAAATAAAACAAACTATGTAAATGAAAATTAAATGGAAGTCCTCGGCACAGAAAACCAGACGACCGAGGGTTAAGTGGAAACGGAAAAAAATCGATGAACAATGAGGACTGTATCGAGGACAACTGCCTACATTTGAGACCGGTATGGTCCTTCATGCAGTTCCAGAAATTTTCGGCTTTCACGAGGTTCTCGTCATACGAAAGTTTAACCTCGACAAAAAAATGCCAACAATAACCTTCGAATCGGGAGAAATTTATTCACGGCGCTGTTCCATTGCGTGTTAGTGGACTTCATTTCCGTAATAAGACGCCGTAATTAACCGTACGCGAGCAACATAGATGCAGTCCCCGTCAGCATCTGTGAAATTTTTAATTGCAATCTATAATGCAGATTTACCATGTGCTCGGCGATGAAGGAAAATGCGAAATGAAAGATAGAAACGTTTTCTACGTTAAAAACAATAATTTATTTCAAAATTCATTATTATATATAATACAAT